GAACTCAGTCTAGATTGCAATGCAAGACTCACTGCACTGTACTTCCCAGCGGAAAGTGAGACTGTTGCTCCCCACATAGGAACGGGGCCCTTGCAGGTTCTCGAGCGGACATTTATGATCGGTTTTGTGCGCTGGGCCGCCTGCAGAGAAGAGGCCTCAGGGTGGTGTGGGCCTTCAGAGAGCTTCAGTCTGGCTGGAAAGGAAAGCCAAGCTGGGTGGTCTACTCGGAGGAAGGAGATAGAAGGAGATGGGATCCAAGTGCAGGACAGTACAGTGTTAGCTTTGGATGCGGGTTAGCTTTAAGCTTCCTGGGGCTCTGTTTCCTCATCTGTGAAATGAGCATAATAATTGTGCATTTCTCATAAACTTCTGGTGGGAGTGAAGTCAGCTAACAGTACAGGCTAAGTGAGGAGAACAGTACCTGCACAGAACCAGCCAGTAAATTACGGTAAGGCATCGCTGTTACCATTCAGGGCTGGGATGATCAGAGAGGCCTTGACTGAGGGACTTCAGACAGACAGGAGTCAGATGGTGAAAGCAGTGTGCAAGAAGAGGCTGATGAGTTTAAAAACAGGGAAAGTGAAATTTCTGGCAAAAAATGTGGTTTGTGTGATTTAGGTCCAGAAAAAAAAAAAGGGGGGACTCTGAATGTCTCTGATGGCTCCAGCACATTCTCCCCAGCCCACTCCTCACTCTGGGGGTGCCCCTCGTTGCTGGGGCTTTGTGGGGTTCCCTGTGCTCAGGGGGAGACTTAAAGCCACCAGCTTCACTCAGAGTCTTTTCAGCTCACGGGGTCACTTCCCAGTGACCCAAAGTAAGACTTTATATCATTAATTGAAATGCAAGATTAGCCAGTGTTTGGGTTTTTTCTTAAAGTAAAATTCAGCTTGGGGTAAATCTGCTCTGAGATGGGCCCCAGACCACCAGAGGCTGGTGCTCTCTTTTTTTGGTGTAATGGGTACTTAAACTGAAAATTTGAGGATCACTGTTTCAGGACGTGTCTCTACTCTGAGGCCTAGCACCCAGCCTCTTCACCTGGCTGTACCCCAGTAACCCTGAGAGTTAAGAGAGGACACCGCCCTTTCCATGGCTTAGGACCTAGGAACACAAATCTGCTTTCACCAGTGCCCTGGATGTGCTGAATGCATTAGGAACAGCTCAACCATCTGCCACCCATGCCAGGAGCTTAATCAGAGCATCCATGCCAGAGACACCGAAACACGTCAGCCTCCTAGGAGAGATGCCTCGCGGGGCAATGCCTGTATCTTTAAAACCATAATAGAGTCGATTTCCCATTCTGTCTCCATCTTGGGCCACCCCTGGAAACAAAACCATCTGTCTGGTTTCTAGATTTGTAGCCATAGATGGAGGCAAATCTTTCACTTTGAGGACCTGAGAATTTGGCAGGTGAATAGAGAGTGGGGTCTTTGACTTACCCTCTGAAGACTGCAGACACTGGATATTGCCTTCTCGGTAAACCCTGGGGGCAGTGGATATCTGTGGGTGCCAAAGTGTTAACCCTGCAGCTGGATGGGGACCCTGCAGGCCTGAAATTGCCTGGGAGTTCTTCTCCAACACCGCTGCCCGCTAGCATCCCTGGGAGATTTTTAAAATCCTTCTGCCCAGGCTGTACCCCAGGCCACTGAAATCAGAACCTCCAAGAGGGAGCCCAGGTGTTGTTGTGTTTCTGAGGCTCCCCCGGAGGAGTCCCCGTGCAGCCAAGTTTAAGAAGCACTGGTCTAGACTTTCTGCCCTCTCTGGAATGGGGAAGGGGAGCGGACAGTCCTGGCGGTGGCTGGCTGTCTGGCTGCTTCGGGAGCTGATTCATTCAGTCCATGGGTTAGATCTTGTCTGCCAGCTCTGGGGTGGGCAGCAGCCTGGGGGTGCTGCCGTCTGATTGTGGGAGATTGAGCGTGCTGGCCAGACAGGGCTCCTGGCACTCCTGGACGGGGCGGGAAGCAGGACGGCTGTCTTCTGCGTCAGTCCTGCAGAGGGTGCCCACAGCCACTTGCGTCACTTCCCCAGGTTTGTGGTGGGAAGCTGGGGCTGGATGGGTTATCTGCTGACGGGAAAGAGAACAGGAAGGAAAATCTTTAGGTTAAGGCCGCTCTGACTCTTACTGTTCAAAAACAGGCTGGAATACTCGCCTTTGAAAGCCGTGATGTAGCTGCCTTTTCTAACTGGGAAATGGCTGTAGCTCATTTAGAAACCACGAGAGATCTTCCAGGAGCTTCTAGAGTTTTCTCTCCATCACTTAACTCTTTTTTGTAGAGGAGCCTGAGAAGGCTGTTAAGCCCTAAGGAGAAGAGCCTGCATGTTTCATAGCTGAACGGAGTGGAGCGTGTGTAATAATAACTGGATGCTGGCCTTTCTGACTGGAAGCTCCCAGCGGGCAGCAGGCACACCTGGTCCCGTAGAGAGGTGCCCAGCGGGTTGGGGGCTGGGGTGAGGTCTCCAGGAACTAAGCGGGGAGGGACAAGGAATGAGATGCTTCACTGTGAGGGTCGGATGTACAGCTGACACCAGCTGCTGCTCCGCTCCAGCAGAAGGGAGTCGCCGGGGACTACTCCTCCTGGATGGTCCTCAGTGGACTCAGGGTCCTGTCCCAGGGGTCTGAGTGGCCACATAGGAGATGGGTGAGCCCTTTTCTGGAATCCTGGTGCCTCCCACCGGGAGACGGGAGTCCCTCCTTGACATCTTCACAGGTGACACGGTGGCCCCAGGTCCTGAGGTTTCTGGGGACCCACCAGACACACCTTAGATGAACATCTCACAGGTCAGTAATGTATCGGTCTTGGTGAGGAGGCTGCTCGTCCAAGCCTCGGAGCATGGAATTTCCATGATCACCATGGGGGCGGCAGATGAGGGCTGTCCTGGGGTGAGCACACGGTGAGAAGAGCATCATTGGGCAGACTTGATGGACTGGGTAACGGGCCCGCGCAGACGCTTACTAGCAGTGGGACCACACACGTGTTTCTCAACCTGTCTGAGCGTCTGTCTGTAACCTATAAAGTAGGAAGAGCACATTGAGTGTGTAAGAGATTGTGTGTGGACATACAGAGCTCTTCTGACCAGCATCCTCAGAGAGGAACAGACAGGCTCGCAGAAGATGCTGTGATGGAAAAAGGGTGTCAGTGCATCTCCCTGCGGAGGCCCGGGTGTGGGAGCCACACCAGCCCCCCTCGGCAGCCCAAGCTTGACGTCTCACTGGCCCTGTGGGGTTGGAAAGTGAGAGGAGGAAGTGAAGGAGTCCTGCCAAGTGTGACTGGTCTCCCACGGGCTGGTGAGACGGGCAGCTCTGCCCCTGGAACCCGGCGTGTTCAGCTGGGTGATGCTGTGATGGCAGCGTGGCTGTGAAATTCCCCAGCCAAAGCAGACAGACGCCAGCAGGTTGGCGCTGCGTGATGGCAGCCAGGAGGAAATGATCGTCCTCTGGGCCTCGGTTTCCTCATTTGCCAAAGGAGAATCCTGACCCGCCATGGGGTCCACTGGATTTCTGAGACGGACAAATTCTAAGCCTATTTTGACCAACCTGTTTATTCCTGCAGACTGGCTCCCACACACTCAGCCTCACAGGAAGAGCGTGAAGACACAGCCGGAAGCGGGGGTGGCAGTGGACTCGAGAGAAAGTCGGGGAACTGACAGACGGATAGAGTTGCTCAGACCCCAGAATGCTCACCTGGACTGTCTCTGCAGTGTGAAGGACACTGACCTTCTTTTCCTCAGCTTCATTCTTCCTGGAGGGGGTCTGGGGCAGGGGGTGCAGTCAGAAGAATCCGTTGTGGTATTGTGGGAAGAATGCAGCAGAACAGACGAGTCCCTTTAGCTCTGCAGATTGTAGGGCTGGAGGCACGCTCCTGACCTCTTGGGCTCGGTTGTCTCACCCATAAAATGTGGGTGAACTCGATCTCGCAGTTTGGTTCTGAGGACTAATTGAGACAATGCATAGCGAGCACTTGGCACAGAGGAGGCTCTCAGTAACCCAGGCCAGCCCTGTGCCCCGGCGGAGAGTCATCCCTTCGGCTCTCAGAGAAGGCTGCAGCCCCCTGCTCCCACCAGGCATGCCTTCGTTTGAAAGATACATGTGTGTGTGTGTGTGTGAATATGTGCATATGTGTGTATGTATTGTGTATGTGTGTGTATGTGTGTGTGCATGTGTGTATGTGTGTATATGTACGTGTGTGTGTGTGTGTGTGTGCATTTGTATATTAGTCACTCAGTCATGTCTGACTCTTTGCAACCCCATGGACTGTAGCCCACCAGGCTTCTCTGTCCCTGGGATTTCCCGGGCAAGAATACTTGAGTGGGTTGCCATTTCCTTCTCCAGCGGATCTTCCCAACTGAGGGATCAAACCCGGGTCTCCTGCATTGCAGGCAGACTCTTTACTGTCTGAGCCACAGGGAAGCCCATATATGTACTTGTGTGCAAAGCCCTGGGACCTGGGGCCTGAGCTGATGTCCGTATGCCCTTGGCCTCCTCAGCCTGGGAGAGCTGCCGTCATCCCCTTCAGCATACGCTGGGACCACGTGTGCATGCCTCTCTCCAGCTGTATTGTTACTTCCTTGAGGAGACGACCATGGCTTGCATTTCTTTGCATCTCCCATAGCATCTGAATGCATCTTTTCTTAGCAGCCCTCAATGAGAAAAACAGCTTTGCCAATTCAGGAGATTCATACCCCCACTGCCTGGGTGCCAGGCCCTTTCACATCGGTCTTGCAACAAGCATGAAGGGTGGGTATTGCCCCCATTTCACAGGCAAGGAGATTGGCACCAAGAAAGATTTCAGCCACTTCCTCGGGGTAGCCGGCCAGACAGTTATCACAGCTGGCATTTGACCTCCGATTGTTCTCAGCCTGAGTCCATCCCGTTCACTGGATTGGTGCTGGTGCTCACTTACTCTTGGTTGGAGAGGCCTTTGGGCATAAGTGGTCACTCCCTTTCTCATCCTGAGAAGCGTGTGTGATGCACGTGTCCACCCTGACGTCTGTGTCTCTTCCAGAATGACTGTAAGCCTCCTGAGGAGCCTCCACGCCCGCCCACTCTACAGGAGATCAAGCAGAAGATTGAGAGCTACAACGCCCGGGAGAAGGACTGCCTGGGCATGAAGCTGGTGAGCATCCGCCCCGCTCCCCACCCCTGCCCCCCCCTCACTCACAGCCCCTTCCACTTTGGCTCCCCTCTTCCCCCTCGGAATCCTGGGGCTCCCCTCCCCGGGAGGATGCTCCCCTCTCTGGGTCTCTGGAGCCTCTGGGCTTATGTGAGGCCACGAACCTGGGCTGCCCATGCTCTGGGGAAACAGATTGGGCTATAGAATGAGGCCCAGATCGGTTCTCTGGCTCTTTAAATTGAAGCTTTGGGAAACCTTAACCTCTGAGACTCAGTATAAAATAGAGACATTAGTGCCCATGTGTCAAAGCACCTGTAGGCATTAAATGATACGCAGGTGATAGGGGCCCAGGAAGCCCTAGGCAAGGGGAGCAGGCAGCCCTCCTCCCCTTCTTGGGCCTTACAGCCTGTGCCTGGGGCAGCCTGTCTGATTTGCAGAGCTCGGAGAGAAGGCGCCAGCTTCCTGCTGGTTCAGAAAGGCCGTCTTCAGGGGAGATGCTGGAGGAGCCCTGCCCCCTGCTGGTGTTTGCTGGCAACTGGCTCTTTGGGGCGTCAGCCGGATGGACGCCAGAAAAATCCAGTTGCAGAGGGACTGGGGTTTAAGTCTCGAGGGTTTTAGAGAGGGATGTAGGAGGAAATTCAGTGCCCTGGTTCTCCGAGGATCTTATCACAGAGCCTGCCTGCTCCTCCTTGGTTTGGAGGGGACGACCAGAGAGGCCACTCCAGACCCTGCCTCTTGGCCTGGGGACTCAGCAGAGGCAATCGCCCCGTCTGCCCGGTGGCAGGGGATTTGGGGCAGGCAGCGTGCGCCCCTGGGGAGGGGAAGCCGCAGCAGTAGCCTGGTCCTGCGGGCCTTCTGCTGCCGCTGCCCTGCTAGCATCCCCAGGTCAGCAGAGGCAGGAGGGAGCTCAGGGAGGCGGGTGGCGCGGGTGTGGCTGGGATGGCACTGCATCAGGACAGGCCTCTGCAGTGGCGGGTGGGCGATCCGGCGAGACAGGCCGGCGCTGACCGCGCCCAACCTGCGCCCGCAGAGCGAGGACGGCAGCTACACGGGCTTCATCAAGGTGCACCTGAAGCTGCGGAGGCCGGTCACGGTGCCCGCCGGGATCCGGCCCCAGTCCATCTACGACGCCATCAAGGACGTGGACCCCGCGGCCACCACGGACAAGCGCACGTCCTTCTACCTGCCGCTCGACGCCGTCAAGCAGCTGCACATCAGCAGCTCCACCACGGTCAGCGAGGTCATCCAGGGTCTGCTCAAGAAGTTCATGGTCGTGGACAATCCCCAGAAGTTCGCGCTCTTTAAGCGGGTGCACAAGGATGGGCAGGGTAGGAGAGAGCGCGCGCCCCCCAGAAACAACCCTTCCCGCCTCTGGCTGGGCGAGCCCGGTCACACTTAGTGGGAGCGGTGGGCGCCTCGTGGCGCCGGAGCCCAGCCTCCCGCGTGGCATCAAGTCTGCTGCCCACCCACCATGCCCCTCCCTTCACACGTGGCTGCAGGAAACCCACCCCTGGGCGTTCACTTCCTAATCTGGGGAATGGGACCACTCCCTCAAACCCTTGGGGTGATGACGTGAGTGGAAACAGGCTTCCCACCCTAGCAGACACCAAAGGTACTGGTTGTTACCCTTTGTTCCCGCCAGGCATGTTTCCTTAGGTTGAAAGCATGGCTAGAAACACCCCTGCCTCCCAATCGGTCCCAGCCATCCTGAGCCCCTGCCCTTTCACTCCAAGGCGAGCCCAGCCCCCTCTCTTGGTCTGCAGTGCTCTTTTTGTGTGTGTGTGTGTGTGTGGTTTTTTGAGTTTATTTGTCTTACTGTTATTTTGAACCTAAATCAATTAAGAATTTTTCCTTCCTCTAGGAAGAAAAATAGTTCTCTTTGTAGACTGAGTAGTTTTTTTTTTTAATTTAAATTTATTTATTTTAATTGGAGGCTAATTACTTTACAATATTGTGGTGGTTTTTGCCATACACTGACATGAATCCGCCACGGGTGCACATGTGTTCCCCATCCTGAACCCCCCTCCCACCTCCCTCCCCACCCCATCCCTCAGGGTCATCCCAGTGCATCAGCCCCGAGCATCCTGTCTCATGCATCGAACCTGGGCTGGCGATCTGTTTCACATATGATAATATACATGTTGCAGTGCTATTCCAGAAACTCTCCGTCGCTGACTGCCCCCTCTACCTGCGCTTACTTGCCGGGCCTGACACAGACGTCCTCAGCTTCGTGCTGAAGGAGAACGAAACTGGAGAGGTGGAGGTAGGTCTGGGCGCCTCCGCCTGCTGCACAGACCCAGCTTGCCGGGTAGGCGCGGTCCTCACCCCCCAGCGCGGCTGCTGAGCTGGGGCGAGTGTGGCCCAAGGTCAGCACTGAAGTCAGGATTTAAGCGCTCTGGGGGAGCAGGTCAGGGCCTGTGTCTGGCAAGGCCTGTGGAAAGACAGCATTCCATGTGCCTATTTCTGAACACTCAGGGAGGGGTGCTGAGAACCTCCCTGTCTTCCACCCTGCGTTTTGCTCCTGAGGATGTCCTGAGGCTCAGCAAGCGCCAACTCTGGGCTCCCCCCCCCCCCCGCCGGCACGGGTATTGTTGAGTCAGTTGTCTCTCCCTAGTTCTTGAAAACGGACGTCGCTGCCCCATGGGAAGCGCCCGGCCTGCAGTGAGGGGTGGGGTGAACCCAGCAGGTGCTCCCCGCGTCCCGGGGTGCCTGGGGTCGCAGTAGGCGCATCTCGCAGTTTGTCACACTGCCCCCAGTGCAGGCCTGGGGTTTGCAGAAGCAGTCTCGGGAGCCACTGTGGAAATTTGGGGGATCTAGGCCTGTCTTTTTCCCGCCTCCTCCAGGAAGCTCTGCTCTCCCTCCTTTTGATAGACTGGGAGGTTCTGTTGGGACAGAGTGTCCCACAGAAACTGTTTGAACGTTGCTGGCCCCATGGGAACCTCACAGGCCTGGCGTTTAGAGGCCTGGCTTCTCGTCCAAGTTTTGCGGCTGTAAGCTCTGTGATCGTGGTTCCCTCCGTGGACTTCAGTTTTCTGATTTCCCCAATGTGGGGGTTAAACCAGATAAACCTTAACGTTCCTTTGTGCTCAACGAGCTTAGGAGTCCAAGTCCCTGACCCCTGGGGGGCCTCAGTCCCAGGGTCAGCCGGGAGAAGCCGGTCTTGCCTGCTGTCCTGAGAGACCAGGTCCCACCGGCCAGGCCCAGCCCACCAGGCCCTGCAGAGCTGTGCAAGTGACTCATCTCATTATCTGCACTGCCAGCCGCGGGAGGTGGACACCCTAATTCCATAGCAGATGAGGAAACAGCTGAGAAGGGTGGAGTTCTGTGCTCAGGGTCGCATGGCAGGGCCAGGCTGACGCCCAGTCTCCTGAGTCCAAGACCAGCTCTCCTCCAGATGTCACTCCGGGGGCTGCATGCTGGGGGACCCATTGCTGGTCAGCCCCAAAGCAGGCAGCTCCAGGTGGTCACCAGGGTCTTGGGGAGCTCCAGCATCACAGTTAGGATCTCAGCTGCTACCGAGAAATTGAAGATTTTTGATTCTCCAATAAATATGGTTTCAGTCAATAAAATATGGCATAAACCTATCAAAATAGGGCTTATGGTCTAACTCTTGGCCACAAGATGCCAGGATTTGAAAGCCTGATATGGCATGGAGACCTCAAGCTGTGTTCATCACACCTGCCTATTCCGTAGCAAGCGGTGTGAAGGGGGAGCTGGCAGGGCCCCTCCGTCATGCGATGTCTAACCTGTCTCCTGTCTCCTATTCTTTCTCTCCCCCAATCTCCCTCTCGCCTCCCAGTGGGACGCCTTCTCCATCCCTGAGCTCCAGAACTTCCTAACGATCCTGGAGAAAGAGGAGCAGGACAAAGTCCAACAAGTGCAGAAGAAGTACAACAAGTTTAGGCAGAAACTGGAGGAAGCCTTAAGAAAATCCCAGGGCAAACCTGCCTAGCCAGTCCGGCCTCTCCTCCTGAAAGCCCGTGGATTTAATTTTTATTATTAATTATTATTTTGCAACAGACACTTTCTCAGGACACGTCTGGTGGGTGCATCTGTGCCCACCCATCAGCTCCGGATGTGGCATGACGCCTCTGGTGGCCGCATGTGCATGCAGGCATGGGGCCTGCCCGCTGCCATCTGTGCCTCTGCACACCGCCCCGGAGCAGCACGTGCGCGTGCAAGACTGGCCGCCTCATCTCGCCATCTGCAAACCTTCCGCAGACCAAATAGCTGCCTCTCCCTATACCAGCTGGCAAAGGAAAGAAAAGGGGTTTAGAGACATGTGTTCTTTCTCTGGCCTTTAGTCTTCTTCAATTTGTTTCTTATTTGCCATCCACAGTTCCTTTATTTATGAGTCCAGAACTGTAGCATATTCCTTTAGCAGGTCTGAGCTAAGCCCCTGAAACGGGACAATGCTCATAGAAGAATTGTCCCGGGACTTCCCTTGTGATCCAGTGGCTAAGACTCCGAGCTCCCAATGCATGGGGCCCAGGTTCGATCCCCAGTCGGGGAACTAGATCCCACATGCCTCAACTAAAACATCCCGCGGGGAACTAGATCCCACACGCCTCAACTAAAACATCCCGCGTGCTACAACTAAGACCCTGTGCACTCAAATAAATAAACATTAAAAAAAAAAAGAATTTTCCCCCACCATCCTCAGGTGCCCGTTGCTCACGGGTAAGGGATGGTCATAAAGCTTCTGGCCCCAGAGGCTCAGGTCAGAAGCACCAAAGCTGAGGCTGCCTGAGCGATTTCCAGAGAAGCTGCAGCTGCCCTGGCCCTGATGGCCCAAGAGTCTGTACACGTATAAACCCAAAGGAATTTATATCTGTGTGCATGTGGTCTTCAGCCACATCTTCCTCAACTCTTTGTTTTTAAGTTGCAATTTTGACTTTAATATTGCCCTCATCCTCACTGTGTCCGCTAAGGGGAAACCAGCCATCTAACTATTTTTAAAGTCTCCTGCTGAGTGCGCAATTCAGACAGTCGAAGCCAAAACGTGTTGCAGCTAAACGAGTCCAAGCTGTCTTCAGGCCTCCCCAGCTAGTGGCCACGGGCCTGGCTGCCTCGGTTCCCCTTCGGCCTCCAGGACCGCCTCCCCCCTCCCTCTGGACTCTGGGATCTCCAGGTGCTGCCGGAGGAGCTGCCTTGATTACGGAGGGGGGCCCCCCCAACTCAGCCGACTTGGGACTCCTTCGTGGTCTGAAGCACTGTCCGCCGTGGGGCTGGCCTCCTGCTGACCTCGTGCCTTTTTGTTTTCAGAGAGGGTCAGGAACCCCGGCCTTTGCTTGAGGCTCTGCTGCTGGCTTGCTCCTGCCAGGAAGTGGAGCACGGCGGTGTGAGAGACAAGGACAGGGGAGCCTGCCCCCCAAGCGTGGGGTGAGGGTCTCAGAGCTTCTGCGCGTCTAAGGTCCTGGGCCCTGACTTCTTAGAAGTGAGGTCAAACCGCCTGGACAGGGCGGATCTGATTCACCCTGTCGGATTCCCGATGTCTGCATCTGTACTGGCTCCTTGCTTAGGGTCAAACTTAAAACCAGCCAAGCAATTCAAGCCAGGAGCCAGGACTGCAGAGACACTCCAGGGCAGAGGGAGGACTTGAACTTTCAAAACCGGGGCCGGTTTTCCAATCCTGCCTCTAAGAGACCCATGTCTTCGCTGTTCTCTGCCTTCCCAAGTCCTTGGGTCAGTTCAAGCCCATGCTTGTTTGTGTAGCCGCACAAGTTCCCTCCCTGAGTCCACCTCACCCCTGATCCTAGAAGGAATGCAGAACCTTCATCATGCAAACTTCTTGGTCTTCAGAGCTGCAAAAACAGGATGAGCTAAGCAGCTCGAAAAGATGTTTTCCATCATAAAAACCCCCATTATCTGCCATCTCCTGCTCAGCCTTATCACTTCCCTCCCTTAAAATCCCCTCCCTGCTGCAGGCGGGCGCAGCGACCTCTCCTCCACGCTGCATGTCTGTAACACGACAGAAGGCACACTGCTGCAACCGCTGTGAATGCTGCTGAGACCCCCCTCGGAAGGGGTGGCCGTTTTATTTTTGAGAAGATAAAGAAGTCCTGTACATATATACATAAAGGCATATAGCTATATATAAAGATATGGGGTGTTTATGAAATAAGAAAACTGGGAAAATTCAGACCTTATCGAAAGCACAGTTAGACCAGGGACCCGGGCTGGGGTCCGAGCCTCGGAAACAGCAGGGAGTAGTGAGTGCCCCTTCCCGCCCAGGGCGGCTGTGACTGCTGGAGTGCCTTCTGCCGTTGTGTTGTCCAATGTGTGTTCTGAGGCTTTCTTTTGAAATGTCTTTCTTATATGGGTTTAAAAAAAAAGTAATAAAAGCTTGTTGCAAAAACGATTCAGGCGAGAGATGCGTTCCTTGAACCTCCCCCTCTCCGGGAAATCTGGGAAATCTCTTGGAAATGGTGGAGCCGGGAGAGGGGTGGGGCCAGAGGAACGCCCACACTTCAAGGCCAAGTCAGATTTTCTTTTGCCAACGGACAGAGGCATGAAGGCATCCTGAGAACATCTTCCAGAGGCACGGGCTGGAGGTGCTGCCACGGTGACGGGTTATTCTCCGACCCCACAGACAGGAAAGCAGAGGGACTCACTACAGAAAGAGCACTTTGAGGAGGGGTGGGGGGCGGTGATTCTCTGGAGCTAAGGATGATTAAACACCAGAACAGGCTACTGAGTTAAGCAATGATTCTTCTATTTCTGGAATTATTTTAAAATCGGATAGGAAGGAGTCTTTGAACGTTTGCGATCATCTCACCCGGAGGAAAGGGCTAGATGACTAAGACAGTCCTTTCACCTTAGCTCTGATGTCCATCAAAGGAATATCTCAGTAATCGTGGTGATAACCATATAAGTCATTAAAAAGGAATTCTTGCCTGCCTTCCAGTATTGATCACACACAGTGCAATCAATGAGGGCCCTCAGTTCATCCAGTCTACCCCTGACCTCCCTCTAGGAGAGCACCCCTGTCCATGAGACATTCTTAAAAGTGTCCAGGAATGGGATACAGCTGTAACGTTTGCTCGCTCCAAGAGGTATATCTTTCAATAATTTTGCCAAAACCCAGAAATGAACCAGTTTTTGCATTTCACTGAAACTCATTTGGTTACAATGTGCGATTAAGTTCAAAGCTGCACATTTGACCGTGATGTAGATTATTTGGCTTAGCACATAGAAAAAGGAATCCCTTGCACAGCCTAACACGCCCTTGCCTCCTCCCATGAACCTATGGTATTCATGAGGAGAAAAGGGAAGATGAATCAATGCAAAATGTGTCACCATTACTGGAAAAACCATCTGAAGCATGCCTTGACAGCACTGTGTCACAGCAGAATTCTGGGTCAAACCTGAAGCGTGGATGTTCATTGCAGACCTAGCCTCAGCATTCATTGGCTTGTGTCTTTAGGAGGGCTAAGCAAGGCAGGACACAACTCTGAGCCTTCAGTCCCTCCAAGGTTGTGCTAAACAAATTATGTCTGTGAAAGAACTGCATAAAGCACTGTGTGTTTTCTTGGGAGAAGGAAATGACCCACTCCAGGACTCTTGCCTGGAGAATCTTATGGACAGAGAAGCCTGGTGGTCTTCAGTCCATGGGGTCGCAAGAGACGGACACGACTGAGCGACCAAACCACCACCTCGTGTTTCCTATGTGTCATCTGTACTGATTATGAGGACCGTATTTCACGACTACTCTGTCGCCCTCAGATCAAACCGTGTGTGTCCAAGGGCTCTGATGTAACAGAATCTTGTTTGGGGTCAATTTCTAGAAACCTCTTTCTCAGTTTCATGTGCTCATGTTAACACAGAAGGTCAGTACAGTGACGCAGTTTACTCACAGCGAGTCAGCAGTGAAAAGGCTGATCATTCAGAGCCTCCTAACAAAAGCTAGGGACCTCATACACATTTTTATATTCATCCTTTTCTTATTCAAGCCCCAGGTGGGGAATTTGTGAATATTGTGGGTATTTTCAAGTCTTTATCTTGGTTTAAAAAAAAACAAGATGAGCAAGTAAAAAAGTAAACCGAAGTGTAATTTTATTTTTTTGATGGTAAAAAGCAGATAACTCTGCAGTGATTTGGTTCAGCCCTTCTCCTCCCTATTGCACAAGGAAGCCTCTGGTACAGAAATGACTGCCCCAGACTGAGCAGGGACCATAGCCGGGGTCTGAATCTTTTCACATGATCCAGCTGAACTGGACAAAAGCACGATAACCTCTCTTAGGAAAACGGTCATACAGAATCTTACGCACTATTTCAGAGAACTCCGTGGGCCCTCTGAAGACCTTGTCCATGAGCCCCAGGTGAAGAAGTTTGAGGGTAAAGAAAGCATTAGTTGGTTAAGACTCTTCACTGTAGCAAAGTCATCTAACCTGTAGCCACATCACAACTTACAGCTGTTAGTGGCAGTTGTCAACACTGAGGAAAAATGACTGTTGTATAGAAACCCATGTCCTAATGTGCTTTCATTGTTTATTTCTGGTCTAGCCTAAACTTTGCTCAAGGCAGAGATAACCGTTCCTTCTTCTGAATGATGACAAATATAAACATATAAATAGCCCTTTAGATATTTGAAGGAGTGATTTTGGGGCTAGGAGGTTAATTAGGTAGCAAGTATAGCAAGACGTTATTGACTATTCGGTAGAAGGACTTTAAAACAGGCAGGCTCCCCCCGCCTGAGCTCTGGCTGGGCTCACACCAGTGATCGAAACCACGTGAACGGGAAGAGCAGCCTCCATAGCAGGGCTCCTTTCAAACGGCTCTGAACCTGGAAACTTAGTACAACAGTTTACTAAGTGGAAGAAACAAAAGGGAATCAAATTCAGATTAGAATAAAAATTTATTTTGGTAAAGAATTATATATATATATTTTTTTTAGTTTGCAAAAACAGAAAATACTCATATAAATTACCAGCCCAGAGCCTGGATTTCCAC